CACATCAGGAACACCATCCGAGCCGCCTGTGTTCCCGCCGACCCATTCCAGTACAGCTGAACCAGGTGGAACAGTGTTTCCCGTATTCCTCGCACCTGTAAAAGTCATCGTCCGTAGGATAGGCCGCTTGGTCGGTGCCAGGGTGGAAGGTAAACAACCTGCGGTTCAGCGCCTACACGTTGACTGGGCGATGCCAATCGATTGGCAGTCAGGAGTGTGGGTGGCCTGACTGATAGGAGCAAACGGCCAGGATTAACCCTACTGTTCAAGTCGAAACTTTTACGGTAGATTTCCAAGACACCAAAGACATAAGCTCCAGATTGATTTCGAAGGAAACACTATTCGATATTAATATCTTCAAGGAAAATAGTAGCTGCTATATGAAACTGTCGCTTATCCTGTAAATTAAGTAATTCAGTATGCAATGTTGCCTGAGTGTTAATTCAATACCGTAATGAAATATATACAGCAATATTCAAACTCATTTTCAAAACTGCGACACAACTTTTAGAACATTTTACGCAACACTTATAGAGTACAATGTTACAAGTACCAAATTTATGAAAACAGCTCCTAAATGAACTTTTACATATTACACGGTTTCATAATAGCAGCAACGTTTCCAAGTACAGAAACCAACCATACGTACAGCACAATGCATCCACAAGTTCCCTCGCAGATGCAATCCTTCGACCAATCAGGTCATGTAAGCGTGGAGCTCCGTAAGTGGTCGGCGTTTTTGCTGGTACTTCCAAACCTCAACCAGGCGTACAGCTCACCACCCGTGCCTCGTAAACAGGTACGAGTTCTGCCAAACCCCGAGCTCCTGCCAGGCAACACGCAAACAACACGCCTCAAAAGCAGCGAAGTCGCAAACCATTGGCCAATGCCAATGGTTTGCAAGTGGAATCGAGTGGTTTTGCCCAACCACTCGCTGGCGACTGGTTTTCGTAACGAAAACCAGGCAAGCCAGTTTTGCGATGCACGGTCAGCACTAGTAGGCAATGCATACATGGCAGTGAGAATAGCATCAAAGTCAAGAGCAAATATATCTACCCTCTGCCCAAGCAGCTCCACCCAGTCGGGGAGCTCAGCCGCGTCGCCAAACTCGGTACGCCAGGCGTCGCTCAGACGGGCGAAGCAGCGGGACTGTGTGTGACCAAGCGTCCCGCAAGCCTGACCAGCCCTATCACCTGTGCGAATGACGTACGGGCAGCGAACGGTACTCCGAGACCCTCTACTCTGAGCGTACCACTCACGAAGCTGCTGGGGCGTAAGTGTCTCGCGCGGACGCCACTGCAGCTGCAGCTGGCCACTGCCAGACGCTACCGACTTGTCAGAATATTATGCTCTAGCCTGTAGTGGGGTGCTCTATAGCGAGTACAACTCTTCTAGGGTTTTGCTATTTGTATCCCCATTCTTGCTAGTGCAATCCTCTTCTTTCTTCTAAACTTTAACATGCTATCAGAGCAGGTCGATCCCCTTGGATCGATCCTGTGGGTGGGCTCACCACCTTGTTGCTTCCGCTGCAACTGCTACTGCTACTCTCTGTGCCGCACGCCCCGTGGCGTGCGGCAGTTTTTCTTCCCGCCGTGCGCCCCGAGGCGCGCGGCGGTTTTCTGCCCGCCGTGCGCCCCGAGGCGCGCGGCGGTTTTCTGCCCGCCGTGCGCCCCGAGGCGCGCGACGGGTTTCTGCCCCGTCACTCGCCGCGTCGCCCCCGGGAGGCGCTGCGACGGGCGACGGGGACCCGTCGCGCCGCCCAGGGGAGTCGCGCGCGGCCCTTGCTGCCCCGTCGCGCGGCCCTGCTGCCCCATCGCGCTGCCCAGGGGAGCCGTGCGCGGCCCCTGCTGCCCCGTCCCGGACCTGCCCCGGCCCCGACCTGCCCCGGCCCAACTCCCGTCGCCCGTCGCGGCGCCCTGGGGGGGGCCGCAAGCGGCCCCCCCCAGGGTCGCCTCGACAGGCGACGGGAGGGGAGTCTACAGGGGGCCGCGCGTTGCCCCCCCCCCCCTACCTCCCTACCCTGTTTTTAGGGTTTGGGGGGTGGCGGTTGGGGGGTGGCGGTTGGGGGGTGGCGGGTGTGTGGCGTCGCCTGCTCCTCCTCCTCCTTCGTCTCCCACTGCTGCAGCTATCGCTGAGGGGGGTGGATGTGTGGGAGTGTACGGAGTGGTGCTAGGGGGGTGGAGTGTGAGTAGAGCTAGGGTTTGAACAGGGGGTGTGTGAAATGGGGGTGGGACAGTTGGGGGAGGTTGAATGGAGGCGGTCGTCGTGTCGTCAGCAGCAGCAGCAGTCCGGAGGCTACAATCTCCGGTAGTCGCCAGTCGCCCGTGGGTCCGTTGCTCGTCTGCCGCTACTTTTAGCCGCGGGGCCAGTTACCCCAGTAGTCCGGAGCGCTGTTCCGGTAGCCACTGAGCCAGCAGCTCGTCTGTGTGTCTGCAGCGTCAGCAGTCGCCTCCCATCTTCTCTCCCCCACAGTCTCTCCTCCTCCTCACTTGCCCTCTGTGATAGCCTCTAGCTTTGCTTATATTTGTTAACTATAAAACTGCTACCTCTTGTACTTGTGCTCAGAATGTGTGGTGACATTGTGATCCACCCTGAGCTTGTTTTCTTTTGCTTGCTCTGCTGATTACACCCCACTTTGGCTATGGGGGTGTGTCAGAATATTATGCTCTAGCCTGTAGTGGGGTGCTCTATAGCGAGTACAACTCTTCTAGGGTTTTGCTATTTGTATCCCCATTCTTGCTAGTGCAATCCTCTTCTTTCTTCTAAACTTTAACACGACTGACCAGCTCCAGGGCGACAGCCACGACTGCTACCGCCACAACCCCAACTAGCGTACCACTCACGAAGCTGCTGGGGCGTGAGAGACTCACGCGGACGTCGCTGGAGCTGCATCTGGCCACCGCCAGTAGTAGCAGTAGCAGCAGTAGCAGTAGCAGTAGCCTAGCAGTAGTAGCAGAAGTAGCAGCATTAGCAGCGCGGGCAGGGCAGGCGCGGCAGGCAGGCAGGCAGGCAGGCAGGCAGGCAGGCAGGCAGGCAGGCAGGCAGGCAGGCAGGCAGGCAGGCAGGCAGGCAGGCAGGCAGGCAGGCAGACAGGCAGGCAGATGGCGCGGCAGCGCGCGAACAAGGCAGGTGCTCACCAGTGGCGGGAAGGGCAGGTGCTCGCTGGGCGAGCAGGGCCGGCGCTCGGCTGCAGTGCTGGGACCACGACAGCGGCAGGGCAGGGCCGCGGCAGCTGCTGCAGGGCGGGGCCAGGCGGGGCCGCGTCGGCGGCAGGGCGGGGCCGCGACAGCGGCAGGGCGGGGCCGCGTCGACGGCAGGGCGGGGCCGCGTCGGCGGCAAGGCGGGGCCGCGACAGCGGAAGGGCGGGCCCGCGTCAGCTGCAGGGCGCGCCGCGACAGCGGCCTGGCGGGCCGCGTCGGCGGCAGGTCGGGGCCGCGTCAGCGGCAGGTCGGGGCCGTGTCGGCGGCAGGTCGGAGCCGCGACAGCGGCAGGTCGTGGCCGCGTCGGCGGACGGTGGGGCCGCGTCGGCGGCAGGTCGGGGCCGCGTCAGCGACTTGGCGGGGCCGTGTCGGCAGCAGGGCGGGGCCGCGTCGGCGGCAGGGCGGGGCCGCGTCGGCGGCAGGGCGGGGCCGCGTCAGAGGCAGGGCGGGGCCGCGACAGCGACCTGACGGGGCCGCGTCGACGGCAGGGCTGGGGCCGCGAGCGCGGCAGGGCGGGGCCGCGTCAGCGGCAGGGCGGGGCCGTGTCAGCGACCTGGCGGGGCGGCGCTCTGGCCTGACGGGCCTGCAGGGGCGGCTCGCGGGCCTGACGGGCCTGCAGGGGCGGCTCGCGGGCTTGACGGGCCTGCAGGGGCGGCGCGCGGGCCTTACGAGCCTGCAGGGGCGGCGCACGGGCCTTACGGGCCTGCAGGGGCGGCACGTTGGCCTAGGGCAGCAGTTGGCAGCGCGAGGGCTGCAGGACGGCGCGCGCAGCGCAGCACGTCACAAGGCAAGGCAGGCAGGCAGGCAACACGTGGGGTAGCACGGTAACCGCAAAGGTAGGTGGGCCCGAAAAAAAAGATGGTCCTACGGACCTAGTGCTCTGATACCATGTTAGAATCTAGCAGCAGGAATGGATGAACTATGAAATGGTTGGGTACAAATATGAAACCCTAAAAGGGGCTGTACCCCATATTGGCTACCCCACTACAGCCTAAACATATATAGCAGATATATCATTTGACAGGGGGAGCGGAATGCGAGATTCCTGTGACATCCACCCTTCTTCTCTTGCTGGATGTGTCTTGTAACGCTGGCTGTTGCTGCGGGTTCTGCTGCTGTTCTTCCTGTTGCCTCAGCTGTCTTAGATCCTGCTGAGTTGTTCTCTTATGCTGTTGCATCTGTTTTGGCTCCTGAGGTTCGAGTTGCTGCTGCTGCTGCCCCAACTGCTGCTGCTCCAGCTGCTCTAGCTGCTGCTCCTCCTCCTCCTCCTCCTCCTCCAGCTCATGCTCCTGCTCCTGCTCTAGCTCCTGCTCCTGCTCCTGCTGCTTCTGCTCCTGCTCCTGCTCCTGCTCCTGCTGCTTCTGCTCCAGCTGCTGCTCCAGCTGCTGCTCCTGCTGCTGCTCCTGCTACTGCGGCTGCTGCTCTTCCTCCTGATGCTCTTTCTCCTGCTGCAGTTGTTGCTCAAGCTCCTGCTCCACACCTTCATTACCATGCACTATAAAGTCATCCTGCAAAAACGCTGCAATCTCAGCCGCAGTCAGCCCCTTTTTGAACAATCCTTCCTCAGAAAAACACCTGGATACGTAAGAAGATCACCAGATATTGCAGGAGGTACGGTTGTGTGAGCTGAAGCTGGATACATGCCTGCTGAGCAGGCTGCACCAGAATTGCTTCCTTGCATTGGCTCTGTTGCGATTGTTGTTGCTACTTCTGATGTTGCTGCTGCTGCTTCTGATGTTGCTGGTATTTCTTCCGCTGTTTCTTGTGTTGCTGCTGACGCTTCTGCTTGTGCTGCTGCTGCTACTTTTTCTGCTGCCTCTGCTGCTGCTGCTGCTGCAGCTGCTGTAGTTGCTTGCGTGTGCATGGGGAGGGCGGCGACAAGGTTACGGGGGCAGACGGGATGACACATGGAAGCACCTCTGATGGAGAGAGGCAACGGCATGGAATCTTCCTGGCCATGACGGTCTTTCAGGTTTGAGAAGAACTCCATGAAGTCAGTAACATGGCCAGTTCTGGCTGTTCCTGTGTTGCTAGAACTCCCGGAGATCCCAGCACAGTCACCAACCCTGGCACAACCACCGACCTGGTTGCAACCGCCGACCCCAGCGCACCCACCAACCCCGGCGCGACCGACGACCCCAGCGCAACCACCGGCCTCAGCGCACCCTCCAACCCCGGTGCACCCACCGACCCCGGCGCGACCACCAAACCTATTGCAACCACTGAGCCCGGTGCAACCACTGACCCCGATACGACCACCGCCCCCAACGCAAGCACCGACCGCTGTACAGCCAACGACCCGAGTGCAACCACCGACCCCAACGCAACCACTGACCAGAGAGCAGCCGCCGACCCCCACGCAACCCCCGACCCGAGCGCAGCCACCGACCTCAGCACACCCACCAACCCCGGCGCAACCACCGACCCGAGCGCAGCCACCGACCCCTGCATAACCACTAACCTTGGCGCAACCATTGACCCCGGCGGAACCACAATCCCCGGTGCACCCACCGACCCCGGCACAACCACTAACCCCAGCAAAACCACTAGCCCTGGCAAAAGCACCGACCCTGGCACAATCACCGACCCCGGCACAACCACCGACCCCGATGCAACCACCAACCCCAGCACAACCGCCGGCCCCAGCACAACCGCCGGCCCCAGCACAACCGCCAACTCCTGCTACCACTGCCCTATGAAGTTCGTGCTCGAGATTTAACGCTGAAGCGGCAATCGAGTTGACAGAGGAAAGGGGTTGTGCAGCAGCCATATGCAGACCTGTGGGGCTGAAAGCAGTAGGCAAAGGGGAGCGGCCAACAACTTCAATCGGAAGCTCCAGCATTGGGTGCTGCTGCTGCCTTCTGTTTTGCTGCTGTTGAGGACTGAAATGCAGCAGTTGAAGCTGCGGCGGCTGCTCCTGTGGCTGATGCTGATGCTGCAGTGATTCATTACGTGACTGATGTTGCTTTTCATTTTGATGCTGCTGCTTCTGTACGTAACAATGACGATCCGAACACTGAGATTTCGACATTTGGAGCAACTTTTACTATTGGCGGTCATGATTCTTCAGTGATTGGATATGCTGCTGCTGCTTTTGCCTTACGTTTTGCTGCTGCTGCCGAATACAATACAGAAATTGGAGCTCCTCCAGCCGCTGCTGATGCCACTGCTGCTGCTGCTGCAGCCGCCATAGCTCCTCCTCCTCATCCTGCTGCTGCGGCTGCGGCTCATGAGGTGGCTTCTGCTGATGCTGCTGCTGCTGCTGCTGCGCCTGTGGCTGCTGTAGCTGCTGCTGCTGCTGCTGTATTTCGTTTTCCGGCTGTTGCTGCCTTTAGTTTTGCTGCTGTTGGGTGTGATAATAAGAATTATGATGATGATACATCAGGGATTGGAGTTGCTGCTGATGGAGCTGCTGCTGCATCCCCAAATCGTGGAATTCCTGTTCGCCTTGACTACGGAGAAGCGCTGCTCTCACCGATGGCAGTACAGGAAGTAACAGTTGACTGCTAATTGAAAGGGAGGAGCTCGCACTGTTGGCAGCAGTGTTTGAAGCTATTGCGGCTCCTGCTGCTGCTGCTGCTGCTGCTGCTACTGTTTGTGAGCCTGTGGCAGCGGAAAATGTGCAAGATGGTGACCCTGGCACTTCTACATGGTGATATCCCAGGGGCTGGAATGGGGGAGGAGGAAGTGGCAGGATATTAAAAGGCTGACTGTCTGATGCATGGACAGGAAAAGATGGAATGGAGGTGAAGAGGGAAGAGGTGCAGATGGGCGAAGGAAGTGGGCAGGTTAGCGTTGAGGGCAAAAGCAGGTCCGGATCATGGGCATGACGCAGCGGCGGGTCAAACGGATGGCGTGAAGGAAAGGGCGTAGGGCCAAAGAGGCGCGGGCCAAAGAGGACGGTGTTGAGTCCTGCTGAAACTGAATCATGGGCCCAGAGGCAATCCTAGTGCCTTCTTCATCGCTTAAGTTAATCTCTGTGGGACGCCATCGTTGCTGCGGTTGAAGCTGGTGCTGCTGCTGCCAATTGAACTTTGGCTGTGAGAAATGGTTTTCAACCTGCCTGCTCCCTCCACTGCCCAACAGTCTGTGAGGGACCGTACCAGAAGCACCCTCCATTCCCACACTTGGACCACGGACATCATACAGGGATGCTGGTGTGCACGTGCCGCCATTAGGCTTCAACGCACATTATCCCACCTCAGCAATATGATCGGCATTGCTTGGGAAGGCTCTCATCTGTTGCTCTGGTAGCGGCAGTGTTGTCTCTATCATCTCCATGCCATCTTGGTCATCTGCACCATGTATACGACCATTTGCAGTCATCGGCGCCTTCTCGATCTCGATCCCCGCATTGAAGGGTGGTTCTTCCCACTCCTCTTCCACTCCCAGGCCGTTCCCCACTCCGTCTACGCCCCATGCGCTTCCGTCACTCCCCACACCTTCACTTGCCGCTGCTCCTGTCTATTCACTCTACAGCGGGAATTTATTACCAGAAGCACCAGCAGTGGCAGCAGCAGGTGCTGCTGCGACAGAAGCAGTAGAGTTAAGCCCAAGCAGGAAGGACAAGGTTGCAGCTAGGCTAGCCATGTTGTCCCCACCATGCCTAATAGTACTACCTAGGCGACTGGACGCACCGGTGATGGAAGTAGTAGCAACAGCTCCGGAGGTACTATGACTCATTCCGAGGCCGGCATTACCAATGCCATTGTCTGTGGACATGCCAATAGGATCCTGGTGTGAGCTGCTTGCTAGTGGGATGGTGTATGCTAGGCTGAGTGCGTTACTTGTACTAGCGGTGTTGGTGTTGGCCATAGAGCATCAAGTAGAAGAGGCTATAGTGCATGGAACGGCAATGGCAGTAGCAGCACTTCAAGTACTAGCACCGAGCAGTGCTTTTCAAGAGCATCATGATCCACACGATCATCACGATGGTTCTGCCGCCTTTGGTCACAGGACGCAACATTTGAGTGCCTGCAGTGGGAATGTGGGTTACATCTCCAATTTTCAAGGTTCCGAATCTGTCCACGAGAGTCCGAAAATACTCTTTTCGGTTGGATTCTGGACGTGCAGAAAAAGAGACGTGACAGATGCAGCTCCAACTCAGGTTGAATGGTTCAAGTTTGCTCAGGGCCTGAGGCTAAGACGGCTGGACCACCATCAGTAAAAGAGTTCTGTATATTATAGATGTGCTTAGATGCGAAGCTAGACTCTCCAGGAAAGCTCGACCAGAAGTTCTATATGGAGTTTGAATCGTACTATAAATCCGTCACGAGAAACGGAAGAAATAATCCATGCCACGGCAGGCAGGCTCTTTTGTTTTGTTTTGTTTTGTTTTTTTTTTCCCCCAAAGTTTTTGCCGCGGTAATTCAAAGTTTGAAGGGCGGACGAGAACGGTGTCAGTCCCAGGGGCGGCGATCTAGTACAATGAAAGTAATTTAGGGGCGACGACCTACTACTACTCTCTATAGTAGTAAACTAGTCCAAAGTGCGGCGGCCTTGTGATCTGTTGCTGCTGCTGCTGCTTGTGCATCGCAGTGCATGTTTGGGGTGGTGTTGGGATGCGACAGAGGAGATTGTGCTGTTGGGGTGGGCCTTTTGGGATGGCCGTTTCCCTTATTGAGACAAGGGACACGGATTGCTGTTGGGATGGCCGTTTCCCTGCCCTCCGATAATACCACAAACCTTTGTTTTGGAAGACATCCCTAACGTTTCCCGACTTGATACACGTACACTGAAACAGACACCCATGAGTGAGAGGGGAATATCGAGAGTGAGAACAGATGTTGGAAGGACATACGAAAAGGAGTCGGACGTGGCTCTTACCCAGGATATCCGGGCGTTTTACCCTATACTAGGCCCATCCTGCTTGAATTGGGTTTGTCTGTACGTCCACCCGATCATCGCTGGTGTGCAGCCCTGCCGTCTCGCCAGCACGCACCCTGCCTATTTGCCCCCCTCCTTGCAGAATTTCACCAATTGCCCAGCTCCTTCTCTTACATCGGGTCCCTAATTTTCTAGCAAAGAAGTGTTTTGGATTTTCCATACTGCCTTTCCGACCTCGAAATATATCACACGGCCATTTCCTGGGTATGACTGGCAAGCCATACTGCAGTGGCAGAGTGCAGTGGGTCACAACTCAGACCGGGCAGTGTACCCTAAAACGAATGGAGAAACCGACAAGGGTCCTTCGACAACATAATCGCCTCGCAAGTGGTCATAGCTGCCTGTTGTTGACGTGTGCTCGGTGTGTGGTTGTTTGTGCCTGCCAATGCCACAGTCATGTCCAGCTTGCAAGGACATCTCATTCACTGTTTTGTCCCACTGCTCTTATCGGTTAGATCCATCATGGCACGTCGTGTACAGTGTATCGTTTCCGAATCGCTGGAAACGCAAAAAAACCCGCAGAGCCGCAGCTTAGAAAACTCAACCCCCAAATATTAACCACAAATTCACCTCGAGGTTACCTCTTGGCAATTCCCTGCGAGGTTACACCCTATTCTCGATAATTTCACACCCCTTAATCTCACACCCTGGGGTAAATACTCTCGTTTAAACGTTTAGGTAGGGTAGATAGCTTTGCAGGTACACAGGTGTGCCACAGGTGTGTCCAGCAAGGACACCACAGCTGCGCACACAGGGGTAACATTCAAATCACCCGCAACTCACCTCTCACGCAACAAACCTTGTAGTTTTTGGCGAACAAAGTTCGGCGCACTATGATTGGTTCAAACTAACATGACGTATGATGGCGTGAAATGTGGTACAGTGCAGTATATTGAATAGAGATTGCTTCGTTACTCGAGCGATTGACAATCTGGCAAAGCCACTGCAGACCGGTAGGTTTCTCTCAAAACAAAAACAGATACATCCACTGGATTTTCAAGATGAGTGTTGCAAGTGCAGTCTATACCCAGTTGTCATTTCCCAAGAATCACGCAACCTTCAGCAGTGCAAAATTGCAGCTTCAAAATTGCAGCAAGATGCACACTTGCACGGAGAGCAATTACAGATGTTCTCGCTTAGAGTTCCCGTGAAAAAACGCACGCGATGCGGGCCTTTGTGGCAAATTTTACAAATCCCGAGCAAACGGGAACCTATAATCCCAAATTCGGGGTACATTCTGGACGTTGCTGCGATCAAAAGTTAGATCGCCCCAAGGATCTCCTCGGGAAGGTTCGCACAATATGTGTGGTAGTGGTGGGCCCTTTTACCTCAAATCAGAGTGAATGTAAAATGATTGAGATGATAAAAACATGCAAATACAAGCGTATAAATAAGAGTACAGGTGGAATACGAAACGACCTAACTAGCCATGTACTCTAAGGGGTACATTCCCTTATTGCAGCGAAACCCAACCGTGCGACTCCGATCATCAACCCGATCGTCTTTTACATCTCGAATTTGGCCAGGCCAACCACGATATCGATGCTACCGTATGTGCTTCACAAACAGACCTCTGGAGCACGAGAAGG